TTCTACTAAACCTCACAAACATGTTCTTTTTCAAGATAACTTTCGGAATCATGCTTCCTTTCAGATAATTCTTGGGATATGGTGAATGTTGCCGTTCACGACTGTCCTTGCGATGACATCGTATCTGAGATTCGAATGATGCTCTCGAAGAAGACGCAAGTGTCGGAGTTGAAGCGGAAGCCACGAGATACGCGGAGTCGGCCAAAGAGTTCACGGAGGGTGGGGAAAGGAACATGTGTTTTTTAACGTCCCACATGTCAAACTTTATCGTTGGGTCGGGATTCCACATTTGCTTTAGAAGGTTGATAGCATCTGGAAGGGATGAATGATGATGCAATTGCGATGATGATGTTAGAAAAAAAGTCGATATGAACAAATGGCCACGGAAAAAAGACGGGTTACCTGGATCCATCTCTTCAGGATATTCAAACTTTCCACTCATTATTTCCCGATGAAACCTTCGACGGTCACCGTCACAAGGAAGCGTCCTCGTGATGACAAAATACAACACCACACCTAATGACCACACGTCGGGTCTCCAACCCCAACACGGTTGCTTATTCACAATCTCCGGAGCCACAAATATATCAAACGAATCAGCATTACGATAATTATTGCACTTCTCCTCATCATACTCGTCGAAACTCTCGATATCTTCAACATCACAATTCGAAGGTTCATCATTCCCATTATACCAAGTATGCATGTGAACAGGATTTGTGGTGATGAAATGTCCCAAGCTTGCAAAGTCCACGATCCGTACTTCGTTCTCCTTCACGCGTTTACCGTCTCTCATCATGTCCACCTGTTTTATCCATATGGTGTCCAGGTTGATGTTCATGTGTGCCAGATTGTTCTCGTGTAAATTGGCCAATCCCCAGCACACTTGACAAAAAATCTTGCGAAAATCGAGACTCTGAGAAATTTCTATTAAAGATGATGCCAACGAACGTTCCCTATTGATATTTTGTACATTAAAATGCTGAGAATTTACAGATGAAGACAATGTTTCAGATTCAGATGATACGGCGAGAATCTCGGAGAGTGGGAATCCGGGATTTTCCCAGACCAAAGCTAAATAATTTTCGTCCTCGATTGTTTCTATCAGATGTTGTAGGTAAGGAGTGAATTTCATTTGCGACATAAAGTGTATCAAGGATCGGGATTTGTTGACGTATAGGCTGCTGGTCTGGTCGATTAAATACATGAATACCTTTCAAATTATCGAGATGAAAAAATTGAGGACAGCATTCACATTGATAAGAAAGATTTCCACAACTTTGCCGACATGAACATGAAGAAATCACCTGCTCTCGGTTCCTGATATCCACGGCATTTATTACATATCCCAGATTATCGTCCAATTCTGTGACATCAATTGGAGTATAAGGAAATGGATGTTGATCATTTCGATCCCCCAATGCTTTATCCTCTTGCATATTTTCGATGATACCAAAGTTGATACCAAAATTATTTGCAGATGAAGAAGAGAAAGGAGGGGTTCTTTTGACAGCAGAAACCTCTTCACCCTCGACGATGGTGAATAATTCGGGCATTGTTGCGATGATCGCGAACCAATGAATGTAATGCTACCTTAGGAAAGGAGAAGTTTGAATAAAAAAGGATGAGAAATTTCTTGTGAGAAAAAAAAAAAAAAAAAAAGAGATTCAAGTTTCGTGGACACGCTGAAAACAAGTAGTACTCACGTGACCACAACAGGTTCGAAAGAAGATTAGGAAATTGAGGAAGTGAGGAAGATTTCTTTCAGTTAATGGAAAGCTTTTATAAATAGTCAGCGAGAAAGGAGAATCGAAAGAATTCGCTAGTTCGTTTTGGCTAAATGCGATAAAAGTTCTTCACACGACAACGGTGAGATGATCGAATCCAAAACTTTACAAGAAACAAAGAATCTTATGTAAGCAAGGCTTTTTTTTTTTACAAGTATGTTTCTCGGACCAGTCTAGATACGAGTGAGAATTTAAAAAATACCTTGGAAAAAATCACCAAAGCAAACCCGTTGCTTTTTTTTTGTTTTTGAAAAACGAAGAATTTTTACAAGAAAGAAATGGGAGATCAATCTGGTCAAGGGAATTGAAAAATCCAAGAGAAAGAGGATCCTTGCAAGAAATGAATGATAGTTTTGTGATGGTACACGAGAGGAAACGAACTTTAAGGTATGTTGTCACAGTAAAAAGTCTATTGCAATAAAGAGTTTTAAAAAAAAAGGGAAGGAAAGAAAAGTTTAACAAAATTAATAATCAAGAGAAAAAACCAGGTATATAGGATTTTGAAATTGGGTGTTTCTCTTGATTTGTTTATTTTATTTATTGGTGTCTTGTTCGCATTTGCATTTTTATTCTACATGTGCGTATGTACGTACGTAAACGCACTTAACATTCATGATATTACATTGTAATTGTTTGCTTACATATTGAATTCATTCATGAAACATGTATATTATTATTGAGTCAACATTATTTACGTAATATTTTTATTGTCAAGTTGACGATAAACCGAAAAAATGACCTAGTACGGAAAACCGCGGCAAACTGCGTATATACATGGTGAAAACACGTCACCCCGATAAGCAGTATAAAAAAGTAAGGCTTACTATAAAGGAATAACGCCTGTCCGCCTTTCCTATGTAAATGTTTGATCCTCGTGACCTCCAAGAGACGGCAAAATCTGCACTTGTTATATGTGCACAAGTTCCAGTTAATGCGTACGTCCTCTGAACCTTTTACAAATTCTGTGATGCTTAAAGACGCCTATGTCCCTTAAAAAAGAAGGGAGGACCATATGTTACTTCGTAAACAACATCATCACCAATGACAAACCGAACACACATGTGCATATGGTCTTACTTCAAGACAACGTGATCCTGCAAATTAGAACAAGAGGTCAAAACACGCAAAACATTTTCGTTCAAGATCCGTCCGTCCGTCACTTCAACGGGCACCAGTGGTGCATCTTTACACTGAATAATATACACTAATGAAAATCAATCGATGACGGTGTACAACTTTCAAACCGATACGAAATTTAGGTTGTGGAGAATTCGATCACAATCATTCGAACACTGTTCAACAAAAACAATCGCCTCCTCATGATTTTCATTTTTTTTTTCTTTTTTAAAGTAATTGTTGGTAGTGTTTTTTGTTTGGAGACTGACTTCGCGGATGTACAAATTCAACCTAATTCTCCAAACCAATGAAACATAAAATCAAGAGAACATGTAATCTCATGGTCCACCTATCATAACTGATACGTACATCCTGAGCACGTGGTGAACTGTTGTCGATACATCAAATCAGATCATTTGTTCCATTTATTGTCGTGAATGGTTAGACCATTTAAGACAGTTTCATATGGAGGTTTTGAATATTTGGTAAATGCATCGATCATTGGTACATCCCACTCTTAATCCTCCGCTGTTTT